TCCCCCAGGGATTCAGCATTTAGTCAAGGGGGTGGAATTTAGCATTTGGTGAAGCCTAGAGCCTCATCCATTGGGTGTTGCCTCCCTCCTTATTCAGCTACAGACTGACAGGTACTAGTGCCTTTCACAACGTAGAGCAATCCCTGCCTCATCCCAGCTCCACACGGTAGGGACCATCGGGGTCGGGAAGGTGAGACGAAGGATCCTGCTGAGTCCCAGACTCCGGCAGGATAACGGGAGAGTCTGAATATGCTTCTCCACCATCTGAACCATTTTCTACGACTGTGCCTACCCCACAGCAGAAACCGCTGTTTGGTTATAAAGCCAGCGGCTCTTGCAACAGCACAGATATCAGGAGTCCGCTAACTTATCCCAGAGTGTTGGTGTCTCTCTTGGTTAATTATATTCTGTTGTTTGGTTTGGTTAAAGTAGCGATGCCCATGCCAGAGACCCTAGAACAGTAAAGAAGGTCCCAAGGCTATAATCGGTATTTTTAAAAGGCCAATGGAAATAGAACATTTAAATGACAGAATGTAGCACAGGCTAAGATATATCGAGGTTGAAGCTCCGCTCCACCAGCGAGTAGCTATGCGATTGTGGATAAACTCAGTTTACCTTTCTGGGTTTTACTCCTTACATGAATAGTGGGACTAGTTCTCCCACTATTATTCTAACCAGAGTTACAAGAATTAAATTGGATGGTATAGTCAAGCACCAAAACCAGGGTCTAACCCTTAGTAGAGCACTGTGTACTAAAAACAGAATACAAGCCACACTGTCATTTTAAATGTTTTGGTAGCCACGTAAGATGCAAAAGAAATAGGTGGAATTCATTTTTGTAATATTTAAGCATAGTTTGTTTAACTCAAAATGTCCAAATTATTATATCAAAATAATTTATATCACTTTAGCTTTTAATTTAAACTTAAATAAAATTAAAACTCTGTTTCTTAATCACACTGTCCATGTTGCAAATCCTTAGTAGCCACAGTGGGCTACCACACCACACAGAACAGACCTAGTGGGCACTCACCTAAGGCCTATAAGGAGAGGTGGGGACAAAACACGGCTCCAGCAGACCAGGAATTGAGGGATAACAGGAAACTGCTGGCAGTTACATTAGAGGTGATCAAGGCCTCATGTTTATGTTAAAGAAAGAAAAGAAAGAAGAAAGAAAGAAAGAGAGAAAGAGAGAAAGAAAGAAAGAGAGGAAGGAAGGAAGGAAGGAAAGAAAGAAAGAAACGAAAAAAAACAGAAAGAAAAAA